GGCATCGTTGGGGTGGCCTGGGGTGGAGATGTACAGCTGGGTGTCATCAGCGTACTGATGGTATCTCACCCCGAAGCCACGGATGATCTTACCCAGCAGCTTCACATAAATGTTGAACAGAAGGGGCGAGAGGACCGATCCCTGCGGCACTCCACAGACGAGAGGCCTCGAGGTCGACCTCTGCCCCCCGCCAACACAAACTGCGACCGGTCGGAGAGAAAGGAGGAGAACCGCAATACGGTGCCTCCCACCCCCAACTCTTCCAGCCGGTGCAGCATGATACCATGGTCGATGGTATCAAAAGCCGCTGAGAGGTCTAACAGGACCAGAACAGAGGAGCAACCCCTGTCCCGAGCCCTCCAGAGATCATCAACCAACGCGACCAATGCCGTTTCCGTGCTGTGCCCAGACCTGAAACCCGACTGGAACGGATATAGATAAGATGTTTCCTCCAGGAATTGTGGAAACTGTCGCGCAACCACACTCTCAACAACCTTTGCCATGAAACGAAGGTTGGAGACAGGACGATAGTTGGCCAATATTGCCGGATCCAGGGACGGCTTCTTGAGAGAGGCCTCACCACCGCCTCTTTCAAGGCAGCAGGGAAGTAACCCTCACTCAACGAAGCATTGATAACACCCTGGAGCCAGCCTCGTGTAACCTCCCGGGAAGCCAGTACCAATCAGAAGGGACACGGGTCCAGTAAACATGTGGCCATACTAAGTCTCCCCAAAATCCTGTCCACATCATCGGGAGTCACAGCATCAAACTCCTCCCAGATAACATTCTCAAGACTATTCCTCGTCACCCTGCCCTGATCTACCCAGTCAGAGTCCAAATCCCCCCGGATCTGAGCAATTTTGTCATACAGGTATTGTCCGAAATCCTCCACCCTGCCTTCCAGGGGATCCTCCCGCACTCCCGGATGGAGCAGGGAGCGGGTCACCCTAAACAGGGCGGCCGGACGATTCCCTGATGATGCAATAGAGGCGGAAAAGTAATTAAACTAGTAATTAAACTATCGCCACTACGTAGGTCTTAATATGCGACCTTACCAGTGTTCGATCAGATTCAGCGAGACTGGACCTCCAACCGCTCTCCAGGCATCTTTTCCAGCGCTTCATTTCCCTCAGCTCCTCAGTAAACCAAGGAGCTGCGCGGGATCGGCACCGGGTCAGAGGCCACAAAGGCACGACTCGGTCCAAGGCCCCACCAGCCGCCCGATCCCAGGCGGCTACCAGGTCCTCAGCCGAGTCATGTGCTAGATCCTCAGGAAATGGCCCAAGCTCCATCTGGAACCTATCAGGATCCATCAGGCGCCTGGGGCGGACCCATCTTATTGGCTTTGCCTCCCTGCAGCGGGGTGTAACGGTTCGAAGGTCCAGGCGAAGGAGTGAGTGATCTGACCATGACAAGGGTTCCATGTCTATATCCCCTATAATAAGATCACTCAACCACTGGCCAGAGACAAAAATCAAGTCCAGAGTGTGTCCCCCCCTGTGGGTGGGGCCATGAACTAGTTGGGTCAGGTCCATGGCCGTCATGGAAGCCATGAACTCCCAAGCCGTCTCAGACGTTTCACCAATGGACAGCAAGTTGAAATCACCCATGACCATAAGCCTGGGTGTATCAACTGCCACCATGGCTATCACATCGAGGAGCTTGGGCAGGGCCGTTGCCGTGTGGCAGGGAGCCAGGTACGCAAGCAACAAGCCCATCTGAACCCCATGACCCCATCTCACAAAGAGGGATTCACATCCAGCAATCTGTGGCACAGTGGTCTCCCTCGGACTAAGACCACTGACTAATTGAGTAAGAAGACTGTGTAGGACAGCCCGTTATACAGCCAATTCCAAGGCATTGGATATACCATAGAACACAGGGAAGACAGTAATCGATAAGTGAAGAAAGTGTGGCAAAACAGTGACATTACCGAGAAAACGGATGACTCTCTAAAATAGATGAAAAAGAAAAAGAAAACTGGTCTGAGAGGCTCCCAAGAGGCCTACAGCAGTGATGGGTTGCTACTGGTTCTACATGGATTGGTGAACCAGTAGTGGTGGGAGCCTCTGCCCACCCATATTGGATGCTTCTGCACATGTGCAGAGTGAGCTCATGCGCATGCACGAGCGAACTGGTAGCGATGGTTTTTGCAACCCACTACTGGCCTACAGCAACATTAAAGGAGCTGTAGGAATTTCTGGCAAGTCCTGGTTGTGTACTATATGTGACAACAAGCTTCCCTAGTCTTCATATATCTGGGCTGTGGGTTAAAGTGACAAGATGGAAGCTTTTTTTCATTCAACAAAAAGCATCCAAGCCCAGCTGCAAAAAAACCTACTTTGGCTCTGACAAAAGCATGTGGGAAAATGTGTTAAGGTGTGATGAGACCAAGCTTGAACTTTTTGGCTACAATTCCAAAAAGTAAGTATGGTGTAAAAGAAATATTGCACATCACCACATCATACCAATAGAGAAACATGGTGGTGGCAGCATTATGCTTTGGAGCTGCTTTTCTTCAGCTGGAACTGGGACTTTATTCAAGGTATAAGAGTGCTATCCTGCTCGCTCACACACATGTAATGCTGTTTATTAATATTCCCCAACAATTCCTTTCATCAAAACACCAGATCTGTCCCATTTAAGTCCAACCAATAGCAGACCAACACTAGTCCATAGGGCAGTAGCCAATGAGTCCACAAGACACTTAAAAGTTTCTCAAAAAAGTTGAGGTTTGATATTATTTCTTATTCTACTGCACCAAAGGGAGTTGGAAGTCAATGCCTTTTCTTTCTTTTTCCCTTCTCTACACTTTTCTCTTCCTTTTTCACTCCCCTACTTTTCCTATCTCCTTTTGTATGTTTGCATTTTATATTATAAACTAATAAAAATGTGAAAGTTTCCCAAACAAGATAAACCCTCCAGGCAAAATTAAATCCAAATACAAGAGGGTTCACAAGGCACATGTCAATCCAAAGCAAGGCAGGGATCACAATGACCAGGAAACACGCAGCTAAGAAATGAACAGATTGTTCCCAGCATTGTCTCCATCTGTCTGCTGTCCTAAATAGCCAGCTTCTGGTGCAGCCCATTAAGTGGGATGAGGCTGCCTCCTCACAAGTAATCAGGCTGACCTTCCCTGCCTTAGGTGTTCTTGGATCAGTGCAGAAGACAGTTCCTCTTCCTCATTACTGACCAGCTACAGCTGTGTGTTTTCCCCACCAAAGCCTCAGGCCTGTCCTGCTGCAGCTTGCCTCAGTAAAATCCAGGGGTGGTATTCAGCCGGTTCGCACTGGTTTGGGCGAACCAGTAGCGGCAATCGCGGGTGGGCCTGCCCACCCACCCACCCTGGCTCCAAGCAGGGCCGGATTTAGATGAAAAGAGGCCCTAGGCTATTCCACTTATGAGGCCCTTTCACCTATAGTGAAAGTGTAATTTTAATTTTGCTAACAATTTGAATGTAGGCCCCTCTTGATCTTGAGTCCCTAGGCTGAAGCCTAGTTAGCCTATAGGAAAATCCAGCCCTGGCTCCAAGTCATGCTATTTAGGCATGTTTTTGAGGCCAGGCACATGCGTGGCAGGTGCATGAGCAAGCAAAGTGCATGCAAGGAAGGCCGGTGCATGCGCAGACAGTGCACACATGTGGCAAACCAGTGGTAAAAGTAAGTGAAACCCACCCCTGGTCAAATCCCTCTCAGACAGCTGCTCAGAGCCATTGACCAACTCCTTTCTTGATGTGACCGGAACTGGTACATCCTCCTCCAAAATGACATCTGGCGAGGTATCTGAGGAAGTATCCAGAGGAGTCATCATAAAAGGTAATTATGAACAGTTCCAAATATCAGTCAATTTTGGCACATAACCTTCTGGTCTGTGCTAAAATGATGAAGGGGATTTTCATCTTTCAACATGACAAGGACCAAAAGCTTCCCTCCAAATCAGCAAAAGAATGGCTTCACCAGAAGACAATTGAAGTTTTGGAATGGCCCAGCCAGAGCCTGGACCTAAAGCCAATTGAAAGTCTGTGGGGTGACCTGAAGAGGGCGGTTCATAGGAGATATCATCACAATCTGACAAATTTGGAGTGCTTTGGCTAAGAAGAGAAGGGCAAAGATTCCCAAGGCAAGATATGCCATGTTGATGGGCTCCTATGCAAAAGACTCGATGCTATCGTAAAATCAAAAGGTGCTTCAAAAAAATATTAGTTTGACAATACTTACGCAACCATATTATAGCAATAGCACTTAGATTTATATACTGCTTCATAGTGCTTTTTACAACCCTCTTTAAGCGGTTTACAGAGTAAGCATATTGACCCCAACAATCTGGGTCCTCATTTTACCTCCCTCGGAAGGATAGAAGGCTGAGTCAACCTTGAGCCGGTGAGATTTGAACTGCCGAACTACAGCTAGCAGTCAGCTGAAGTAGCCTGAAATACTGCACTCTAACCACTGCGCCACCTCGGCTCTTATTATTTTATTGTACATTTTTTATTTTTATTCTCCCCCACCCAAAAAAAAAGTTTATTTGTTTTTCAATTGAATTGAATTTATTTTTGACTTGTAGCTCATGAATTCCTGCCTCTGGATGCCCTCTGCGGTTCCAAGGTGGACTTATATCATTAATCTTCCATTGTTTAGAAACCTATCTATCTATCTATCTATCTATCTATCTATCTATCTATCTATCTTCACACTGTATTTACATCTCTATTTTGATTTATGGATCTAATAATTATATTTTTGTCTTGCAACACATAGGTTCCTGCCTCTGGAAGCTCTCATGTTTTGAAGATGTTCACATATGTGACTGTCTCATTATCATTAAGAAATTAGCCTTTTTTGTCTCTTCCAAATCCTATGGGACTCCATGAAAATAGGAGCAACTGACACTGAATAATGGTATTTACTGTCACCATCCTATTTCAACCCATGGCTGGGAGCCCCAAAGCTCTATGAATTGATTTGATAGTATATTTCATTCTCTAATTTTGTCTGAAGAACATCTCAGGAAGCGAAGTCAGTCTGATCCACTTCAAAGATCTTGTTGCAGACAGAAGCATTTGTACACAGAAAGAAGACACTCATGGAAGATGTTAGTATTTGTGGAGTTGCTGTTAGTAGTATTGCTTGAAGTGGTGTGCAAGAATCCTAGCCTTCGATGTGACTTTCAGGAGCCTCTTCCTATTCGGCACACCTATCATCAGCTTGGAGACATTAATATTGCTGGTATTATTTCTGTGTTCTCAACATTTTCCGATTCCATTTCTTTTATCCATCATCCTTCTCAGGAACTTCAAGATGGGCTTATGTAAGTACATTTTAAATTCATAATCAAGCCCTGTATCTTGCTGTTTACTCACATGATGCTCAAAATATTTTCTTGAAAGTCGTAATTTTAAAAAAGAATACCTGAAGCATTCATTTTATAAAAGAATATCTTGGTGTATGTTCAAACTGTTCAAATGTTTTACTTGTAAGACAATCACAGTCACTTATTTGGTGAGATGGCAGCAAATAAATTTGATCAATCATTTTTTTTTTTAAAAAAAAGCTAAAATTCCCTTAATAATATAATATAACATTTGTCTGAAGTGGTGTAAGGCCTAAGCAGGGGATTGGATTAGAAGACCTCCAAGGTCCCTTCCAACTCTGTTAGTCTATTCTAATAGTCATATCAAATTATTTCTAAGTATAGAATGAGAATCCAAAATAATTTATGAAAATATAATTACCAATAAAATCTGGGTGACCTATATGAGAAATTATTACCTTTTTTCAATTGATTTTACTAGTAACAAAATACAGCTACTTTCATTTGACTATAATGAGAATCCACTGGTTAATTGTTCTCACTGTTAGGAAGTTTCTCCTTAGTTCTAGGTGGCTTCTCTCCTTGATTAGTTTCCATGTTGCCTTACCTTCTGCTGCTTTGGAAAATAAGTTGGACCCCTCTTCTTTGTGGCAGCTCTTCAAATACTGGAACACTGCTATCATGTCACTCCTAGTCTTTCTTTTTCTAGACTAACCATAACCAGTTTCTGCAACTGTTCCTTATGTGTTTTGGTCTCCAGATCTTTAATCATCTTAGTTGTTCATCTCTGCACTTTTTCCAAAGCCTCAACATTTATTTATTTATTTATTTATTTATTTATTTATTTATTTATTTATTTATTTATTTATTTATTCATTCATTCATTCATTTATTTATTTATTTATTTATTTGTAATGTGGTGATCAAAATTCTGGATGCAGTATTGCAGGTGTGGTCTTTCTAAGATTTTATAAACTGGTACTAATACTTTACGTGATTTTGATTCCTAGGTGGTTGAATTCCTAGGAACAGTATCTGTTGTTTGCTACGAGGCTTTTTCATATATTACAAAATAATGTTTCCAACCTCTAACCAGTATTTGCTTTGTTTTGCTTTGTTAAAAATATATATGTGCTACATTTTTCCCCCTAAGCATTTTCCTTAATCCTAGCCGAAGAGTAATATATATATTGCATTAAACTACCTTCAACTAAATGTTGTACTGAAAGATTGCAGATCCCATATTCTAAATCAGTCTCTTCTTAATATATTATGTAACATTTGTTACAGAGTATCCTTTCAGAATTATCAGCACATCCTTGCCTTAGCATTTGCTCTCAAGGAGATCAATGAAAGTACCCAGATCCTACCCAATGTCACTCTGGGCTTCCACCTTTATAATAGCAATTTCAGTCCAAGTTGGACTTACCTTGCCTCAATGGTGCTTCTCTTCACCCAGGGCAGATTCATCCCTAACTACAACTGTGGGGTCCCAAACTCTTTAGCTGCAGTCATTGGAGGGCCTGACATCTGTCTCTATGTGGCAACTGTCCTGTGCATCTATAAAGTTCCTCAGGTAAGATATGTTGAGTATGTATGGCACTACCTGAAGAAGCCTAGAAAGCTTTGCTTTTATGATAAAGAACACTTTAGACGATATTCAACCTTTTCATAGATACTCAGAACAGAAGCTTAAAAGATGATTGATACTTCATGTTGAAGAATTGAAGTCAGATGGTACACAAGATCTGTTTGTTATAATTCAATGAACATTAATGGCCACAGATGAAGACAAGGCATTAGAGAAGTCAAATGCTTGGCTTAATAGCAAAAGTACGAAAAGTTAAATATTCTAGTTTGGGAGAAATAATTTAATTTCAAATGCCAAAGAAAGGTAAAAGTTAAGGAAGGTGGGGTTTGTTTGTTTTTTTAAAGTATGAATATGCATTCATGACTGAAAGAGGAAGTAAAGTACAGATTTTTGGGGGGAGGGGTTGAGAAGAAAAGGACCTAGTGAAATTTAGGTGGTTTGGTCTTCCATGGATAGGACAATAGTGTATCCAAAATGAGTAGAAAATATTAAAGGGAACTATTTGATATTCATTTCTCCTTGACTGGATTACAATAGTAATGATAAGCCACAAAAAACAGTGGGTGTGTTTGAGAAAGATAAATATTGAGGGATCCTTGGTGGTCTCTGAGCATGTTTGCTTTGCTGAAGACATTTCATTACCCAAGCTAGGTAACATCATCAGTGTTAGTCTAGTTTGGGTAATGAAACATCTGCAAGAAAACAACCAAACTCAGAGACCACTAAGGACTGACCACTGAGCAACAAACATTCTCTTTTATTGGAGTGAAATATTCCCCAATTCCAGAACTTAAGGTTTGAGCCAGTGGTAAAATCCAATTTTTTTACTACTGGTTCTGTGGGCGTGGCTTGGTGGGCATGGCAGGGGAAGGATACTGCAAAATCTCCATTCCCACCTCACTCCAGGGGAAGGATACTGCAAAATCCCCATCCCCACCCCACTCTGGGGCCAGCCGGTCAAAATTTCTCCAAACTACTCAAAATTTCTCCAAACTACTCAAAATTCCCACTACCGGTTCTCCAGAACCTGACTGAACCTGATGGATTTCACCCCTGGTTTGAGCCTATTCTTTCCTTTTCTAGAATAGTCATTTTTTTATTCCTTAAAAAATAACACAGTAATAATTTTTACAGTCACATGCACAAATCCCAAAATACTTTTTGACTACTAAGACTAAAACCAAGGTAGCTATTTGGAAATGAATACAGCTATGTGGACAATGTTTCAGTACACAAGCTCAAAAACACCAAAATATTCAATGCATTTTCAGAGGCTCATATAGAGTAGTGGCCAAAATTGTGGAAACCTTTTGAGAAAAGTGTATTTTCTAAAAGTAGCTAATAACACCCACTTTTTTTTTTTTGGAGTAGTACCATAAAATTGTATATCAATGGAAAGATAATTTAATCAAAATGTAATGCAACAACTTTTATAATGGATTTGCTATTAGAATAGCAGTTACAGTATAAAAAAGAAAAGTGAAACATAAAAAAATGAGATGTACAAAAATTATCACAATAGAAAAAAATGAAATATACAAAAATTATCACGTCAGTTAATACTTAGTTGGGTAACCTTTAGCATGAATTACAAAGTCTTCCCATGGAGTGAACCAAATCTTTTAGTTCTGCAGCTGTTATAATGTGATTGAATGATTGCTTCTGTTAACTGGGTTTTATTGCTGGGTCGCTTCTGACTAACAAGTTTCTTTAGTCAGCTCCATAGATTTTCAATTGGATTAAGGTCTGGGCTATTCCCAGGCCATTCCAGCAGTGGAATATGATTATCTTGAAACTCAAAAAAAAAAAAAAAAGTGGTGTTATCAGCCATCAAACTTCAAACATACACTTTTCCCAAAAGGTTTCCACAATTTTGGCCACTACTGTAAACCTTTACAATTGCTTTTGTCTTTGCTTCCTTTAGTTGACTTATGGCTCTGCCCCAGTCATGGATAAAGAGACTCAAGCAGTTTTCTTCCAACAAATGTTTCCAGATGAATCCCACGAACGTAGGGGCCTCTTGCAGCTACTGCTGTATTTTAGATGGATCTGGATTGGAGTTCTTGTTGTGAATGATGACAAGGGGGAGGAATTTGTACAGGAGATGCTCCCCACATTTTCCCAGCATGGTATCTGCTTTGATTTCATACAAAAGTTCCCTAAGGTAGATTTTTACATTGATTTTAATGATCAAGTAGGTGAAGGAGTCCATGTATATCAAGTTCTCATGAACAGCACAGCCAATGTTGTAATCTTGTATGGTGAAATTGAATCTATATCATTACTTAGAACATACCTCCAATTGTCAGAAGTGGAGGATATACCAAAGAAGACAAAAATCTTGGTTACAACAGCTCAAACAGATTATACTTCCAATTCCTTTCAAAAATTTTGGGACATCCATTTCCTACATGGGGCTTTATCATTTGCAGTTCACACAAAAGAAATCCAAGACTTCCAGGAATTTCTTCAGAACCTAAATCCAACCAATAACCAGCATGATCATTTTCGGAAAGATTTCTGGGAACAGGCATTTGGTTGTTTCTTCTCAAACTCAAAAACTGAGACATCTGAGAAGAAATGTACTGGACAGGAGAGCCTTGAAACCCTTCCAACATCTGTGTTTGAAACACGCATGAGTGGCCAGAGCTACAATATTTACAATGCAGTCTATGCTGTGGCACATGCTTTGCAATCATTGTATTTATTCAAATCCAGGGGAAAAACAATAGCAAAAGACAGAAAGCAACAGTTTCAGAATCACAAATTGTGGTGGCAGGTAAGATCTTAAGCAGATAAAGGCAAAATGTTTCCTTGTCTGTAGTTGCCATAAAATCTAATAAACCATATTCTCCAAGGGTATTAAAATTAGGTCTCGAATTAAAATATAGTAGTGGATTAATCCATTCAAATATTTACATGCTCACATTAAAATTACAAAGGTCCACTACCTACAACTGATGTATTGAAACAGTGCTTTTGTTGTTGTTAGTTGCAAAGTCATGTCCCACCCATCATGACCCCATGGACGACATTCCTCCATGCCTTCCTGTCCTCTACCATCCCCTGGAGACCATTTAAGCTCACATCTTCTGCTTCGGTGACTCCATCCAGCCACCTCATTCTCTGTCATCCCCTTCTTTTTTTGCCCTCAATGTTTCCCAGCATTAGGCTCTTCTCCAGTGAGTCCCTCCTTCTCATTAGGTGGCCAAAGTATTTGAGTTTCATCTTCAGGATCTGACCTTCTAAAGAGCAATCAGGGTTGATCTCCTCTAGGACTGACCTTGCAGTCCAAGGAACTCACAGGAGTCTTCTCCAGCACCGTAGTTCAAAGGCCTCAATTCTTTGGCACTCAGCCTTTCTTATGGTCCAACCTTCACAGCCATACATTACACTTGGGAAAACTGTAGCCTTGACTATACATACTTTTGTTGGTAGGGTGATGTCTCTGAAACAGTGCTTAGCAGCCCTTTATTTTATATGCGTTGCATGGAGAGTTTACATCAACATTAATACTATGCACTCAATGTCCTAGAAATCTAACATACTATAAGATTCAGTCACAGATTAAAAGTAAAATAAACAGTAAAACATATCTGTTTGATTGTTCAAAATACCTTCATGTCCACTTTTCAACAGGTTTCTAGATTAGGTTGTTCTCAACCAAACCTTGAATGGAAGAAAAAGGAATAATAATAATAATAATGATAATAATAATAATGATAATAATAATAATAATAATAATAATAATAATAATAATAATAATAATGATAATGATAATGATAATAATAACAACAACAAAAAACAACAACAACAACAACAACAATGTGATCCTTACTCAAGAAAGACACACAGATTGTTATAATTCACTCTTTTCCAGGCCTGTTCATTTCAAAGAATAAATCAATCATTATATAATTGACTGTCACCTTTCAACTTGGTGCTTAAATGGTGACTTGTTGACAGTGATTGTTAAGACTCTGGATATTACAGGTGCGATATCACCTCTAAAAAAAAGTTTCCTCTATAATGCCCTTATTTTTACCCTTTTGAAATTCAATTATTACTTTTGCATTTGTCTATAGTCATCTGTTCAATTCTGCATTGTATTGTAGATTCATATAGATTTGGTTATACAATTTTGTATTATGTATTTCTATATAACTTTTAATTTTATTTAAGAAATATTGTATTTTACCTTTATTTCAGTGACATTGCTGTATTATCTGTTTGGTGCTGGTGTACAAACCAGAATAAAAGCAAACAAAAAAAATCCTTCCTTCCTTCCTTTTTCCCTTCCTTCCTTCCTTCATCCCTCCCTCGCTTGCTCGCTTGCTCGCTTGATCCCTCCCTCTATATTGCAGCTTCATTCCTTTTTGAGAAGTATCTCATTCAACAACACTGTTGGAGAAAAGATTTCCTTTGATAAAAATGGGAAAATCATTGGTGGATTTGATATTATCAACTGGATCACATTCCCCAACCAGTCCTTTCTTAGAATCAAAGTTGGAGCAATAGATCCTACAGCTCCTCCAGACATGTTTTTCAACATCTCTGTGGATTTTATCACATGGCCAGTAGGCTTTAATCAGGTTAGATGTATGAATCTATATTTGTCTGCCTACATCTATCTATCTATCTATCTATCTATCTATCTATCTATCTATCTATCTATCTATCATCTATCTATCTATCTATCTAGAAGTACCATAATATTGTCTCTATGCTTACCTAAGTACAAATTACTGAAGGGGGGGGTATCTAAAAGAATGTTTACCTTTCAAATATTTGACATGAAATATTGTACTTGGGAGTTCATGGCCACCATGACAGCCATGTGCTTATTCCAGATCATGACAGTGCTCACATATCACATCTGGTGCTCATTTCAGAGCTGTGGCTATAGATCTGAATTGGGGAAAAATTTGGTGTCTCCTTTGTTATGACCAGGTCACACCCTAATATTTATGGAATGCTCTGTTGCTGGTATCTACTGTGGGGAATCTGGTCCCATTAGATTGGTCCATCCCCAGTGACTGATGGCCCTGGATATGTTTCAGAGGGAGCTAGAGATTGATCCTATTGATCTGCTCCACAGTCCATCCAAAACCTTGGTTGCCACTTGAATAAGAGGGCAGATGAGTAATTGGATGAGATTGCACCCATGCAATCTATCTTCTCTTAGGGATCTTGTCACTCCCATGGTCCATGGAAAGAGATGTAATGAGAGAAGAGAAATCTAGAATGTTATTGACACTCAATGAAGGACAAACCAAACATCGTTTAGAGTTGCGGTGGCAAGGGGAGGAAAACATTAGTACTTCTCTGCCTTTGTTGCATCCACAGACAGCTGCCCCACAGCCCCGTGTCAGGCAACACAAAACCTTTTTTTTAAATAAAGGGATATGTGATGGAATTTGCTCAGCATCTGTCAAACGAAGTTGCTTGCAGTGGGATGCCAACATTGTTGCAGAGCCAGAAGAGTTGCCTGGGGAGAAGTCTTGCCCAATGATCTGGAAACAGTTTGAACCTGAGGGTCCTTGAGAGTGTGAGTTCAGACATCTGCTCTTTAGACCCATACCACTTCTGCAGGGGTGGCCTGCTGGGGGTTTGCAGAGGTTCAGGAGAACCTCTAGCTAAGATTCTGTACAGTTCGGAGAACCCCCAAATCCCACTCCTGGTTGGCCCTTCCCACCCTGCCCTACCCCTCCAAGGAGTCCCTATGTGGCCCGTTTTGGATGCAGGTAAGTACAGACTGCGCACGGAGGCTCAAGGAGGGTGAAAAATGGCCCTACCGGAAGTTCAGGAAGGCCAGAAATGGGCCTGTTTCTGGCCTCCAGAGGGCCTCCGGAACCTACGGAGGCCATTTTCGCCCTTCCAGAGGCTCGAGTAAATCCTCCGGAGCCTGGGGAGGGCAAAAATGCCCCCTCCACTGTGGTGCAGGAGGGTGATTAGGCCACACCCACCATGGCCACACTCACCCAGCAACTGGGGAGAGAACCCTTTGCTAAAATTTTTGAGAACCACCCCTGCCCTCCTGGCATTTGAAGTGCCTGGGAGATGTGTGAGTGGGTTCTAATGGTGATTAATTCTTCTTTGAGTGTTCCATTCCCTATTAGAGAAGACTTGGTTTGCCTCTTTCTGAAAATGTCATCACTGGACCACACTATATGGAACAAATTTTGTTGAGTATCTAATCTCTTTTTGGGGAAGGTGCTGGAAAAGGTGGATCCATGAGAGCTTCAGAAGACCTTGGATTTTTAATAAGTCAGTTGCAGAACATTCGGTGTCAAAGTCTTCATGCTACTTCACATTTGTTATGGAGTGATTTGTGGGAATGACCTTGGAAGGTGGGTAGGGTGGAGTGGGGAGGAAATGCTACTTAGGGAACAACCAGTTAAGATAGGGTATAGCTCACAGCTGCATAATGGGCAGAGAAAGAAATGTAAAAAGGAATTTTTCAAACTTTTCAGGTTGCAAAACAGAAGTGGGGAAATCACTAGCTCTTCAATAATGTGAAATTAGCTCATAACAGAATATATAACAGTAACAGAGTTGGAAGGGACCTTGGAGGTCATCTAGTCCAACCCCCTGCTCATGCAGGAGACCTGTACAGTTCGAACCGCCGAACTGCTGATCTTTCTGATCGACAAGCTCAATGTCTTAGCCATTGAGCCACCCAGTCAGGCAAATCTGGTCATATTTTCCATCTGGTTTACATGGGAAGGTTGATAGTTTATCACTCCCTTTTTAATCTGTTGATTCCCCAGTAACAGTATCACTCCAAGAACTTATTTTGCTATCTGTATCTTAAAATATTATTCTTTATTTGTGAATAGGTACAACCTTTATCTTTGTGTAATGATCCCTGTGAGGCAGGACACAGCAAGGCCAAGAAAGAAGGAGAGTCATTTTGCTGCTATGGTTGCCTTCTGTGTCCAGAAGGGAAAATATCAAAGGAGAAGGGTAGGAAAAATTCAAATGTAATGGGACTAAGCCACTGGGTGCAGCACTGTGTATAATCCACTATACCCTCTCTATTGTGTTGTTTTTCAGACATGGATAACTGCTCTCCATGTCCAGAAGATCAATATCCAAATCCTGACAAAAATATGTGCATTCCAAAGCGGATCACCTTTTTGTCCTTTGAGGAACCCTTAGGGATCAGTCTGACTGTTCTTTCCCTTTGTTTTTCTTTAATGACAACTTTGGTCATCACAATCTTCATGAAACATAAAGATACTCCTATCGTCAAAGCCAACAACAGGAATATCACCTACCTTCTCCTAGTTTCCCTCCTCCTCTCTTTCCTTTGTGTGTTTCTGTTTATTGGAAGACCTGATAAGATTGTGTGTCTTCTTCGACAATCAGCTTTTGGCCTCATCTTTTCTGTAGCAATTTCTTGTGTATTGGCCAAAACCTTTGTTGTGGTTCTAGCATTCATGGCCACCAAACCTGGTTCCAGATTGAAGAAATGGGTGGGTGGAAGAATAGTCAGTTTCATTCTTCTATCCTGCTCCTTTGCTCAAATAGGATTTTGTGCTGTGTGGCTGATAACATCCCCACCATATCCAGATTTTGATGCACAGTCAATGTCTGAAGAAGTCATCCTGGAGTGCAATGAAGACTCGGTCATGTTCTGCTGTGTTTTGGGCTTTATGGGTTTTCTTGCTCTGGTTAGTTTCTCTGCTGCTTTTCTAGCTAGGAATTTACCTGACAGTTTCAATGAAGCCAAATTCATCACCTTCAGCATGTTGGTCTTCTGCAGTGTTTGGCTGTGCTTTATTCCAACCTATCTAAGCACAAGGGGAAAATATATGCTGGCAGTCGAAATCTTCGCTATGATCTCTTCAAGTGCTGGATTATTGGTGTGCATCTTTTTCCCCAAGTGTTTTATCATTGTGATGAGACCTGAACTGAACAATAAACATCAGCTGATAAAAAGAAAGTTTTAGAAAAACCTCTTTATTTGCCTGATATCCATTATATATACTGTAAATGTTGGATGTGTTCCTCACTTGCACATTTAAGCCAGAGAACAATGTGCAGCAGATTGACTTTCCATGTTGCAATGAATGCCCTGTCTTTTGAAATTTGAATAGCTTTGATATTTTTTTTCCTTCTGAAAGGCAAATATAAATAGGCCCTTATAAAGTGTAAATAATAGTGACAGTTTGATTGTCATATTTCAGTATGGGACTACCCTGTTTCCCTAAAAATAAGACTTATCTTGAAAATAAACCCTAGCATGATTTTTATGTATGTACCTAATATAAGTCTTACCCCCAAAGTAAGCCCTACTTAAGAGCCTGCACAGCCAGCCTTCTGCCCCACTGTGAGCAAGCAGAAGAACTGGGCCTCCTGTACATGGGTAAAAAAACTGAAATAAGCCCTAGTGCCTATTTTGGGACCCACGGGAAACATGGTAGTGGATATAGAGAGAATATATGGAGGAGTTATTAGTTCTTTTTATTAACCAAAGGGATTTATTCCTTCTTAATTTATTGATTACTATTTTTCTGTGTGTAACAGTCTTTCACCAAATATATAGATTTTGTGTGAATTACAAATTTGTCTTTACTAGTCATCTCAAATCATGTTCACACTAGAATGTGTAAAAAGGAAGTGGAGATTAAATATAAAGGAGCCTTTCATTCAAATAGGGAGTGACTATAAATTGTTTCTGAAGCAATCAGACACTAGGAACTGTCTTTGTACATTATGTGCAATGGTCACTAACAAAAAGTGTGGTAAATTCAAAAGTTTCTTTCCAGTTGCCCCTATGTCCGAGATGGCAAACCTATGGCACGCGTGCCAGTGGTGGCACGCAGCACCCTCTCTGTGGGCATGCGAGCCGTTGCCCAAGCCGTTGCCCAAGTCTGCCACACATGTGCATGTGCCTCCCACCGGCCAGCTGGTTTTGAGTCTTTGCCGCACATGTGCGGGGGGTGGGGCGCCTGCGGGGGGCCACACCTGCATGCGGAGGGCAGGATGCATGTGCAGGGGCCACACACACATTGCATTTTGGGGGTTCGGGTGCATGTACGTGAGCTTTGGGCACCCAGTCTGGAAAAGGTTAGCCATCACTGCTCTATGTTTTCTCCTCAGTAGCAAAGAACAATGAAATCTCCAGCCAAAAAATAATACTCGCAAATCAAAATAAATTTAGAAGACCCAATACATGTTAACATCCAATTTGCATAATGGTCTCTTTCTAGGATTTCACTCTTATAAATCACTCTACAGAACAGTCTTTCCATGATCTGGAATGATCTGTTTGAATACATAGTGTATGATAGCACTTGAATGAGAGACACACAGTAACTCTACGTACCAGATGATGAGAGCATTCTGGTTCCTCTAAATGTTGATGTTCATTCTATCAACTTTTTCACTGATCAAAATGAGATTTAAATACAGGTGAAACTTGAAAAATTAGAATATCGTGCAAAAGTTCATTTATTTCAGTAATGCAACTTAAAAGGTGAAACTAATATATGAGATTTTATTTTATTTTTTTTTTTTTATTTTTATTTGATTTATATGCCGCCCTTCTCCGGACACTCAGGGTGACTTACAGTGTGTTAAGCAATAGCCTTCATACTTTTATATATATTTATACAAAGTCAGCTTATTTCCCCCACAAACTGGGTCCTCAATTTACCTACCTTAGAAAGGATGGAAGGCTGAGTCAACCTTGAGCCTGGCAAGATTCGAACTTACTTTAATTGCAGACAGTTGGTGTTAAATTACAGTGCCTTGTCTGCAGAGCTATCTAGGCTCTGATGTAATGAGATAGACTCATTACATGCAAAGCGAGATAGTTCAAGCCTTGATTTGTCATACTTCTGATGATTATGGCTTACAGCTCATGAAAACCCCAAATTCACAATCTCAGAAAATTAGAATATTACATGAAATCAATAAAACAAGGATTGTACATAGAACAATATCGGACTTTTGAAAAGTATAAGCATGCATATGTACTCAGTACTTGGTTTGGGCCCCTTTTGCATCAATTACTGCCTCAATGCAGCATGGCATTGATGCTATCAGCCTGTGGCACTGCTGAGGTGTTATGGAAGACCAGCATGCTTCAATAGCAGCCTTCAGCTCTTCTGCATTGTTCTGTCTCATGTGTCTCATCTTTCTCTTGACAATGCCCCATAGATTCTCTATGGGGTTCAGGTCAGGCGAGTTTGCTGGCTAATCAAGCACAATAATCCCACAATAATACCAGGTTTTGGTACTTTTGGCAGTGTGGGCAGGTGCCAAGTCCTGCTGGAAAATAACGTCAACATCCCCATAAAGCTTGTCCACGGAAGGAAGCATGAAGTGCTCCAAAATCTCCTGGTAGATGGCTGCATTGACCCTGGACTTAATGAAGCACAGTGGACCAACACCAGCAGATGACATGGCTCCCCAAATCAACACAGACTGTGGAAACTTCACACTAGACTTCAAGCATCTTGCAGTGAGTGCCTCTCCATTCTTCCTCCAGACTCTGGGTCCTTGGTTTCCAAATGAGATGCAAAAGTTGCTCTCATCAGAAAAGCGGACTTTGGACCACTGAGCAACAGACCAGTTCTTTTTGTCTTTAGCCCAGGTAAGACCTTCTGATGTTGTTTGTTGTTCAGGAGTGGCTTGACAAGAGGAATACGACATTTGAAGCCCATGTCCAGGATCTGTCTGTGTGTGGTGGCTCTTGATGCACTGACTCCAGCCTCAGTCCATTCCATGTGAAAGTCCCCAACACTTTTGAATGGCCTTTTCCTGACAATCCTCTCCAGGCTGCGGTCATCCCTGCTGCTTGTGCACCTTTTTCTTCCACACTTTTCCCTTCCAAATAACTTTCTATTGATGTGCTTTGATACAGCACTTTGGGAACATCCAACTTCTTTTGCAATTACCTTTTGAGGCTTTCCCTCCTTATGGAGGGTGTCAATGATGGTTTTCTGCACAACTGTCAGGTCAGTAGTCTTTCACATGATTGTGATTCCTACTGAACCAGACTGAGAGACCATTTAAAGGCTCAGGAACCGTTTGCAGGTGTTATGGCTTAATTAGCTGATTAGAGTGGGACACTTTGAGCCTAGAATATTGAACCTTTTCACAATATTGCTTAACGCATTGTAAGCCGCCCTGAGTCTCCGGAGAAGGGCAGCATATAAATCAAATTTTAAAAAAAATTCTAATTTTCTGAGATTGTGAATTTGGGGTTTTCATGAGCTATAAGCCATAATCATCAAAATTATGACAAATCAAAGCTTGAACTATCTCGCTTTGCATGTAATGAGTCTATCTCATATATTAGTTTCACCTTTTAAGTTGCATTACTGAAATAAATGAACTTTTGCACGATATTCTAATTTTTCGAGTTTCACCTGTAGATTGAGGCTACAGTGCCTGGCTCTAACCACCTTTTGTAATTGTGCAACTAGGGAAAGCTGTGATAATTTAAGAGTTCCAGAGCTGTTTGATGAACCTCAAACGTCTGGTAACCAAGAGAGTCCAAGTCTGGCTTCTGTTAAATGAAGAAGATCATATTGATTGTATAGAGCAGTGATGGCTAACCTTTTCTGGACCAAGTGCCCAAAGGGCACGTGCCTGAACCCCCAAAATGCAATGCGTGCATGGGCCCCGTGCATGCGCCCCACCCCCACATGCGTGCATGGCCCCCACATGCCCCCTGCCCCCTGCGCATGCATGTGTGCCCCCGCATGCACTCTGCCCCCCATGCATGTGTGCCCCCCGCATGTGCCCCACACATGCCCTGTGCATGCACGCGCACCCCCACCTGCCACACATGCCCCACCTGCCACGCAAGCACAGCAGACAACCATTTCTGGAAGATCCACAGCTATCAAACTGAGCAAATCTAGGGTTTTAAATATCTTGGTATTTATTTTTGGTCATCATCTTCTGTGAAACTCCATTCTTCAGATCTTTCCTTATGAGCCCAAACAGCCTCTGATAGAATCATAAGATATTTGATTCATAAGGGGAAGAACTACCGGTAGTCTTCAATTTATGGCCACAATTAAGCCCAACATTTTTTGTTGCTAAATAAGTCCCAATTCTGTTAAGTGTTCTGTTAACACTTAACAGAATTCTGTTAACTGTTTTGCCCCATTTCATGACTTTTCTTGCCACAGTTATTAAGTAAATCACTGCAGTTGTTCGTTGGTAACAGCTTTAAATGAATCTCACTTCCCCATTGACTTTGCTTGTCAGAAAGTCATAAAAGATGATCACATGACCCCAGGAAACTGCAACGATCATAAATATCAATCAGTTGCTAAGTGTTTTAGTAATTTTGATCATATGACCAATGGTCATAAGTGTGAAAATCAGTCATAGGCCACTTTTTTCAATGCCGTTGTAACATCAAACCTTCATTAAATGAACTGTTGTAAGTTGAGGACTACCTCTACTGTATGTTCCAGACACATTTAGAATGTTTAAAGTCAAAAGAGCTATAATTGCACTCAACAATGAACTAAAGGGGCACCATCAGTGAGCTGTTGGACAGCATTACTTGGTCTGCTGTGTGGATGTTTGGGTGGTTCAGGGATGGGGAAGTTTTGATGGGTGGGGTTGTGTCTGAGGATTGTCATATGTGTTGGGCTTGGTCTCTGGATGTTATGTGAATTTCGTTGTATGGGTATACTGTGTATATAGGTACAATGACAATAAACTTTATATTAAAAATGTTAAATGTTTTCTTCTGCACGGTGTTGCAGATACAAAGACAACTGTGCCTTAAAAGCTGTACATTTTAAATTCTAAGATACTGACTCTGAGTACCAATTCTGTTGCCAACGTGCAACGTATGTTACTTATTGCTTGATTATGGCTCTGCCTATTGTGACCATGAGTATGAGTCATGCCTAAGGTACAAACCACCTCAGGGAGCTGGTCCAATCACTCTCTCATCCCTAAGAAGTAAATACTTTCCTAATCAATTTGCCAAGAAAACTGTAGGGACTCATCCAGGTAGGCTCCAGAAGTCATCACTGATTCAAAATGCATCAAAATAATTAGAATGGAATGGAATCAATAGTATCCATCTATAGCAAAGGGTCCTCAAACAACAGCCCGCTGAAGCAATTAATCCAGCCTGTGCGAGATCACATCGCCCTGCCTACCCGCCAGCCCCTGCCCAGCAGCCGAGCACAGGCCTTACCTTCATGAGCCTTTCAACTTGGAACTACTGTATTCCCAAAAATATGACCCACCCCGAAAGTAAGGCCTAGCTTGATTTTCCATGTGCGCCTAATGTAAACCTTACCCCAAAAATAAGCCCTAGTTAAACCCCACCCATTATGGGATGCACAGGATGGGGCAAGGCGCGTTGGTAAAAATTACTTACCAGGCCTTGAATACCCCAACACCTGCCTTGCCAGCCCACTTCTAAAGTCATTTGCTCCCACTTGTGCATGTCGCCTTTGGGATCAATCTGGACTCTATCATCAGCTGCAGAGGCCTTTCCTGAAGGGCCTCTGATGGTGAAATGAAGGCCGTGGGTGACACATGGATCAATCCAGAGCCCACTTCTTGGCTGCAGAGGCCATTCCTGAAAGCCTCTACCATTAAAATGGATGCTGGGGGTAACAAGTGGCCAAGGAGCAAATGGGCCAACAGCGGGCTCCTGCTAGATGGGGCTGTTGATGACGCCACTGAGTGGTGAGTTAATGGAAGAGACCCCTTAAAAATAAGACTTGGTGCCTTTTTCCGTGGCAAAAAAATATAAGACAGGGTCTTATTTTGGGGAAAACATGGTAGAAAGTAAGGTCAATGGCAGGGGAGGGCACATGACCCACCCAGGTGGGCCCACCCACTCACATGATCACTTAGCCACACCCACACAGCTGGTCATTAGGAAAATCAAACTATAGTCCACCTCCCCCCACAGTCTGAGGGACTGTGAATTGGCCTCCTGTTTAAAAAGTTTGAGAATCCCAGATCTACATACAGTAAATGCCTATACCCATTTATATATTTATATAAACTCATATCTTGTTTTTCATTTTTTATCTTCTGGCTTAGGCCTGTCTCCCTCCAGAGGCCCTCACATTATCTTTACACAGGTGACTGTCTTACCATCATTATGGAATTAGGCAGTTTGTCTCTTCCAAATCTCCTGGGACACTATGGAAAAATGAGGAACTGACCCTGAAGGATATTGTTAATATTCACCATGAAATACACACTCAAAAGTCCTCTATGAGTTGATTTGACAGTATGTTGCAATTTCTACTTTTCTCTGAAAAACAGCTGAAAAAGTCAGTCCAGGATGATCTCCTAGAAACAGGATCTTGTTGCTGCCATTTATACACAGAAAGAGGACATTTATGGAAGCTGTTAGCAATCATGGAGTCACTGTTAACAGTATTGCCTCAAATGGCGTGCAAGGATCCTAGCCTTCAATGTCATCTTGATGAGCCTCTTCCTATTCATCACACCTATCATCAGCCTGGAGATGTTAACATTGCTGGCATTATTTCTGAATGCTTGATATTTTCTGACCCCATTGATTTCAGCCAACATCCTTCTCAGGGACTTCAAGATAGACTTATGCAAGTACATGATCAATTTATTTTCAAGTTCTGGTCACTGCAAAAAATATTTTCCAGTAGTCTTAAATAGGCTGCCTAGATTTATTTATAAGCTTCCACATAAATTTGAAAAAAGAATTCTATTCCAACAAATCATATGTAACAAGCTTTAAAAGTAAATATTGAGGTAGATAAGGGTAAATTCATGAAGATCTACCACTAAAATCTAGGTGGAAGCACATACTTTTTTCATTTGATATTTCTAGAATCACAATTCAGCATTTTTCTTCTTGATATAAAGCATTCTTAACAGATGAAGTTTGATACTGAGCCTTTCTCATTTATTCATGTGTCCAATCGCAAACCAATTTTTTTTAAAAAAAATCATTCCAGGTTCTGGAGGTGTATAAACATGTGTATAAACATGCTAATATTTTGGTCTGCATTTTTGAGAATCTGAACAGAATACTAAATACAGGTAGTCCTCAACTTCTGACCAAAATTGAGCCCAAAATTTCTGTTGCTCAGTGAGACATTTGTTGAGTAAGCTTTGCCCCAGTTTATGATCTTTCTTGAGTGACTTCCTGCAGTCGTTAAGTTAGTGACATGGTTGTTAAGTGAATCTGGCTTCCACATTGACTTTGCTGGTCAGAAGGTCACAAAAGCTGATCACATGATCTTGGAACACTGCAACTGTCATAAATGTGAGTCACTTGCTAAGTGTCTGAATTTTGAACACATGGCCATGGGGATGGCCATGGGGATGGTGAAAAATTGTCCTAAGTCACTTTTTTCAGTGCTGTTGTAACTTTGAATGGTCACTAAATAAACGGTTGTAAGTCAAGGACTACCTGTACATTGCACTTAAACATATTCCACAAAAAATTGTACTGAAAAATCATAAGTGTCATAATGTGAAGTAGAGTTTTCTTAATGTATTTTTTAAAAAAATGTTTTACAGAATAGTTTTTCAGAATTACCAGCTTGTCCTGGCCTTAGCATTTTCTGTAAAAGAGATCAATGAAAATCCTCAGATCCTGCCCAACATCACTCTGGGTTTCCACATTTTTAACAGCAATTTTAGTCCCGGATGGACTTACTTTGCCTCAATGTTGCTGCCTTTCACTCAGGGAAAATTTATCCCTAACTATAAGTGTGGCGTCCCTCAAAATTTGGCTGCAGTTATTGGAGCACCTGACATCTCTCTTCACATGGCAACTTTATTATGCATCTATAAAGTTCCTCAGGTAAGAGGTGCTGAAGATATATTATTTATTTATTTATTTATTTATTTATTTATTTATTTATTTATTTATTTATTTAATTGATTGATTTCATCAAGCATGTATTACATAACAGATATAAATATAAATCTGTCCATATAAATGGACACGAATAAATGGGGACATTAGGACAGGGATGGTAGGCACGCTGATGCGCTTATGCATGCCCCTTAAAGACCGCTTAGGAATGGTAGACAGTAGACAGACTAAGGTTAAAGTTTTGGGGGTTTGGGGATGAAACCACAAAGTTAGGTAGGCATTAACAACTCTGTTACTGAAGTTGTATTTTCTACAATCAAGTTTGGCGCAGTTTATCATACGTTTGTATCTATCGTGTGCTCATGTATTTTTGTGGTTGAAGCTGAAGTATTCATTGACATGTAGGACATTGTAGCAGATAATTTTATGTACTATGGTTAGGTCGGACCAAAGACGGCGAAGTTCTAAATTGTCTAAGCCCAAAATTTCAAGTCTGGTGGCATAAGGTATTCTGTTGCAAGCAGAGGAGTGGAGGACTCTTTTTGTGAAATATCTCTGGACTCATTCAATTGTATTAATGTCCAATATGCAATGCTGGTTCCAGACAGATGAGCTGTATTCAAGAATTGGTCTAGCAAAAGTTTTGTATGCCCTAGTTTGCAGTTCAATATTACTGGAAAAGGAGCTATGCAAGATTAGGTTAAGAACTCTTAATACCTTTTTGGCAATACTGTTACAGTGAGCTCTGGAGCCTAGATCGTTTGAGATGAGTACTCCTAGGTCCATGACAGAGTGAGGGTCATCTACAAGGTCGTATCTGCCCATCTTGAATTTTGTGTTCTGACTTTTTTTTGCCAATGTGTAAGACAGAGCATTTCTTGGTTGAGATTTGGAGTTGCCAATTGTTTGACCATTCTGACACATAGTCAAGGTCTTTATATTATTATTATTATTATTATTATTATTATTATTATTATTATTATTATACTACTACTACTACTACTACTACTACTACTACTACTATTACTACTATTTTTTACATTATTATTCTGCCATACCACCTCAAAAGTCTGTAGTTTTCTCTCTCAAGAAAGGAGAACATTTTCAGATTCCTAGATATATTTTTTTGCTTGATAGGATCAGAAGAGGTGCACTGAGTAATGCGTAATTCTGAATAGACGGTGGGAGTATTACTTCCAGGAAAATATATTTACTGATACCTTAAGAGTGACATCTTGGTTGATATTCCTAACTAAACGCAACTAGCTGCATAATGTTTCAGTATATAAGAATAAGATTAACCAAAGATTCAAATAAATGTACACATTTCCAGAGGCTGATGTAGACCTTTGCAATTGCATATGTTTATCTTTCTGTAGTTGACCTATGGCTCTGCTCCAGTCAAGGATAAAGAGACCCAATCAATTTTCTTCCAACAAATGTTTCCGGATGAATTGCATGAAGATAAGGGTCTCCTGAAACTATTGTTGTATTTTAAATGGATCTGGATTGGAATTCTTGTGGTAAAGGATGACAAAGGAGAGAGATTTGTACAAGAGGTGCTCCCCACATTTTCTGAACATGGCATCTGCATTGAATTCATAGCAGAGTTACCAAATGTAGCTTTTTACAGTGATTTTACTGATTTCATAGACAAAGGACTATATTTATACCAAGTTCTCATGAACAGCACAGCCAATGTGATAATCGTGTATGGTGAAATTTGCTCCATATCGTTTCTGAGAAGTGTCTTCCAGTTTTCAGAAGTGGAGGATATATCAAGAAAGACAAAAATTTTGATTACATCCAGTCAGACGGAATATACTTCAAACTCCTTTGATAAATCTTTGGATATCCATTTCCTACACGGTGTTTTATCTTTTGCAGTTCACACAAAGGAGGTCCAAAACTTCCAGGATTTTTTTCAAAACCTAAATTCAAACAACAACCAACATGATCATTTTCGGAAAGATTTTTGGGAACAGGCATTCGAATGTTTCTTCTCAAACTCAAAAATTGAGACATCTGAGAAGAAATGTACTGGTCAGGAGAGGCTTGAGACCCTTCCCACATCTGTGTTTGAAACACGCATGAGTGGACAGAGTTACAATATTTACAATGCAGTCTATGCTGTGGCACATGCTTTACAATCTTTCTCTCTATCCAAATCCAGAAAAACAATAGTGAAAGAAGGAAGGAAATATTTCCACAATCATATGTGGTGGCAGGTAAGACTGCTATTGGAGTAACCACCAAATCTCTCCATAAACTCTCACATAATATCCTCTAGGACTTTTGACATTTGGTCTACAGATGAAATATAGTAATGGCTTAACCAGCTGAAATATTTATATGTTCATATTAAAATGGCAAAAGTAATTTTATAAAATTATAACCACTTGCCACAACCACAACCATGAAGAACTCTGCCATTAGGTCAGTCTCTAGGTAAAGAGTAGAAAAATGATATTTTGCCTTAATGTGATGTACTGAAGCAGTTGTTTCTTCTAAATGTTTCTTTAGTGGAGGAGGGATGTTTGCATTTAGTCAGTTCTTTGATTGTTGAAAGTACAATCCCACCCATGATTTACAGCAGTGTTGGCTAACCTTTTTCAGACCGAGTGCCCAAAGCATGCATGTGGGAATGCGTCCATGCTCGAACCCCCAAAATGCAATGTGTGTGCTGGCCCCTTTCATGTGCCCCACCCCCATGCATGCACATGTGCCCCCCACACACTGCCCCTGCACATGCATGCACGCCCTTGCACACACACACACGTGCATGCATGCATGGCCTTCTGCATACGCTCTGCCCCTCATGCATTCGCGGCAGAGACCCGATGACCAACTGGCCAGCAGAAGACACGCATGCATGCACAGTAACGCTGAACTGAAGCGATGGCTCATGTGCCCACAGAGAGGGCACTGTTTGCCACCTGTGGCATGCATGCCACAGGTTCGCCATCATGGGTTTAGAGCATTTCCTGATGAAGATCTTCTCAGATAAACCATGAGTGGATTATGAATATTAAAAAGGCAGAATATTTCCCCTAAAAGAGAAATAAAAATCTTAAAGGAAACAGAAACTCAGCCCCAGCTCCCTGTCGCCAGCAGATATTTTGGTGCCAATTTATCTACAAGACAAAAGACTTCACCCACCAGGACATAATAGGATAATCTATCAGCAGAGCTCATCCCATGGCACAACCAAACCCCTTCATTACATTACCCAGCAAGATTCAACCAAACCTGGGACTATGGACTAGTGGACTATGAAGAGCTGATAATAATAATTGCATTCAGCTTTAATCACCACAATATAAAAAAAAGATGTTGAGACTCTAGAAAAAGTGCAGAACAAGAGCAGCAAAGGTAATTTAGACTCCAGTTTTAGACTGGAGTCTAAAACATATGTTTTAAAACAGTTGTAGGAATTGGATATGCCTAGTTTAATGAAAAGAAGGATTGGGGTGATATGATAGCAGGGTTCTAATATTTAAGGAGCTGCCACAAAGAAGATGAGGTCAACCTACTCTCCAAACCAGCTTAAGGCAGGACAAGAAGCAATGAATGGAAACTAATCAAGGAGAGAACCATTCTAGAAATAAGGAGGAATTTCCTCACAGTGAGAAAAAATGATGAGTAGAACAACTTCCTCAAGAACAACTTCCCCCAGAAGTTGTGGGTACTCCAACAATGGAGACTTCTAAATAGAGATTGCACAACCATTTGTCTGATTGCGCAACCATTTGCTTCCTGCTTGGGCAGGAGGTTGCACTAGAAGACCTTCCAACTCTTATTCTGATATTTTGTTATTGTGAAATGCTTATTTAATAAAGATTCAGGATGCTAGAAGCTCCCTTTTGATCATTTGTAGGATTTCCACCTTTTCACACACCATTTGAGACTCACCTGCATTTCTACACAAAGGTATTCCCAACAACAGTGTATAGTTTCTAACAAATGAACAGAGAAGAAAGAAAATTTGTTTAATGTTTCCAGGGACTCAGTTCTAAAATAAAATGGCGAGGGAATAAAACTGTTTTTAAATCTCTCAGGGCTTTAATAAAATTGGACCAAAGTAGAAAATAATAATAATAATAATAATAATAATAATAATAATAATAATAATAATAATAATAATTTTATTTCTATACCTCCCTTCTCCCGAAGGACTCAGGGCAGTGTACACCCTATTAAAAACACAAAAATATACAGACATCAATTAAAAATAATTAAAATTATTAAATAATTTCGGCCCAAATTAAACCCCAAAAATTTAAAACACCCAATTTAAAATCATTTATATTGATAGCCTGGCCTGGAGGAACAGCAGGGTCTTGAGGGCACAGCGAAATACACGGAAGTCGGAGATCTTGCGCAATTCCAGGGGCAGTTCATTCCACAGGGCAGGAGCTCCCACAGAGAAGGCCCTCCCCCTGGGTGTCACCAGCCGACATACCTTGGCCAATGGTACCCTGAGGAGCCCCTCTCTGTGGGAGCGGACTGGCCGGTGGGAGGCTACTGGTGGCAGAAGTCGGTCTCGAAGGTACCGACTCGAAGGTACCCAGGTCCTAAGCCAAGGTGGTGACCAACACCTTGAATCGCACCCGGAAGACCACTGGGAGCCAGTGCAGCTCGCACAGGAGAGGTGTCACATGGGCACAATGAGTCGCACCCATAACCATCCGCGCAGCCACATTCTGGACTAGTTGGAGCCTCCGAGTGCTCTTCAAGGGGAGCCCCATGTGGAGAGCATTACAGTAGTCCAGCCAGGTGGTGACTAGGGCGTGAGTGACTGTGCTCAAGGCATCCTGGTCCAGAAAGGGCTGCAACTGGCAAATCAGGCGAACCTGATAAAAAGCCCCACTGGCCACAGCTGTCATATGCTCTTCTAAAGAAAGCCGTGCATCCAGGAGGATACCCAGATTACGAGCCCTCTCTGTGGGGGGCAAAGATTCACCCCCAATAGTCAGAAATGGTACCAGCTGACTATATCGGGACACCGGGAGCCACAGCCACTGGGTCTTGGCAGGATTGAGCCTGAGCCTATTTCTCCCCATCCAGACCCGCACGGCCTCCAGGCAGCGAGACATCACATCAAGGGCATCATTGGGGTGGTCTGGAGTTGAGATGTACAGCTGAGTATCATCAGCATACTGATGAACTCTCACCCCAAAACCATGGATGATCTCTCCCAGTGGCTTCACATAAATGTTGAACAGAAGGGGCAAGAGGACCGACCCTTGCGGCACTCCCCAAGCAAGGCGCCGCGAGGTCGACCTCTGCCCCCCTGCCAACACAAACTGTGAGCAGTTGGAGAGGAAGGAGGAGAACCACCGCAGGATGGTGCCCCCTATTCCTAACCCCCTCAACCGCTGCAGCATGATACAATGGTCGATGGTATCAAAAGACGCTGAGAGATCTAATAGGACCAGGACAGAGGAACAACCCCTGTCCCGAGCCCTCCAGAGATCATCCACCAATGCGACCAATGCCGTTTCTGTGCTGTACCCCTGCCTGAAGCCCGACTGGTACGGGTCCAGATAGATAGCTTCATCCAGGTACCAGGGAAGCTGTCGTGCCACCACACTCTCAACAACCTTCGCCACAAAATGAAGGTTGGAGACCAGACAGTATTTGGCTAATTCAGCTGGGTCCAGGGATGGCTTCTTGAGGAGGGGCCTCACCACCGCCTCTTTCAAGGCGGCGGGAAAGGCACCCTCACTCAAAGAAGCATTTATAATCCCTTGGAGCCAGCCACGTGTAACCTCCCGGGAGGCCAGTACCAACCAGGAGGGACACGGGTCCAATAAACATGTGGCAGCACTAATCTTACCCAGAACCCTGTCCACATCCTCTGGAGCCATAGGATCAAACTCCTCCCAGATAATATTCTCAAGATCTACCCCCGTCTCCCCCCCTGGACTCACCCAGTCAGAGTCCAAGCCTTCCCATATCCGAGCGACTTTATCATGCAGGAATTGCACAAAATCCTCAGCACAACCCTGCAAGGGATCTTCCCGCACTCCCCCCCCAAAGAATATGTATTTTGAGCCGACCTTTTGCCAGATATATGTAGTCACATGAGATGAAAGAATCATAGTATTCAAAATGCACATCTAAGCCATCAAATCCAGCCTTTGCTTTAGAATATGTTGGTTCAGCCTCTCTTTGAACACATTTCAGCACTCATCTATTTCCACTGCTGAACATCTTTAACTTAGAAGTTTAGTTAGAATATTTTGTTCTAAAATTATTTTTTAAATGAATTTTAGATTTTATTTTCTCCTGTCCATTTTACAGGTAGTCCTTACTTAGTGATGGCAATTGGGGCTGAAAATCCATTGCTAAGTGATGCAATTATAAAGTGTGGTGTCACTTGTCTAGGTCATCATAACCTCATATACTGTAATTTATGATCATTGCTGCCTGTTTTGAAAAGTAACGTACATATAGTAAATGTAAAGACATTACATTTTGTCTTACTATTCTCTTGCTTTTGTACTTATGGATTTTAACTGCAATAACTCAGATGATAGATAAACTTTTGTTAGTATTTTATTGTGCAATCTATGTGAAAACATTTTAATTTTTTTCAGTGGTGTCATATTTTATATCTACTCAACTATTGGAATCATTGTTATGCTTTGAACATATATTATTGCCTCCTTCTGTCTTTCTTTGTCTCTCTTTGACTGTCTCTGTGTTTCAGGTTCATTCTTTTCTGAGAAGTGTCAGATTCAACAACAGTGTTGGTGAAAAGATCTCCTTTGATAAAAATGGAGAATTCATTGGCGGATATGATATAATCAATTGGATCACATTCCCAAACCAGTCCTTTCTTAGGGTCAAAGTTGGAATGATAGATCCCACAGCTCCACCAGAGAAGTTCTTCAATATTTCTGTAAATTCCATCACGTGGCCAGTAGGCTTTAATCAGGTTAGTTGTTTAAATCTAAATTGGTCTGTCTTCATTCATATAGCATAAAATATATATTGATTATTGTTCCAGAGCATCATCTCTGAACTAACCTAAGAACAAATGTCCTGGGGAAGGAAAACATATCTATAAGAATGTTTACTTCTCTAATACTTGGTATAGAATATTCTATCCTTTACTTTGTGCCCTCTGCACTCTGTGAATTATAGATTATGGTTTTCATGGATTTGATGTAAAAGCTTTAATACAGTGTATTACATTTCATCAGTTCGTAATTAAGAAGTTGATAAACTAACTTTAACTGACCAGCATAGAAAATGTCTTTGGAGAGAGGGGAGGATGGTGTCAGCCCTGGATCCATCTTTAGACAGACTTAATAGGGCTGCCACAGCGGGGGATGGGCGAACTGTGGCAACGGAAACTTAGCAAAGGGAGTATTGTCACAACAACATTATTTCACATGAGATCAAGGACGGGTTGCTGGCAACTGGAACAAGGTGACCAAAGTTTGGCAGCAGCTGAGGCAGGAGATTGATTGGGTCATATGATGTTAATGTCACTAGACAGGCAGGGTGTGAGTTTTAGTGTGGGTGGGGGAAAACGCGAAATTTCAGATTTGGGTTTTCCCCAGATGTGTCAACATAGAGAATTTATTCTCTAATAAATTCTTACTTTGATGGACTTTGTCTCGGAGTTCTGAATTCCAATGAGGGTTTATTTGGAACGCTGTCAGATGATTTTGGAAAATGCCAATAATTGTAAGTATTTAATGAACTATAATTTCACAACAAATACAACTAAAATGATGCCATGACATCAGGGATGGGTTCTACTTACCTTTACTACTGGTTCACAACGGGCCCATGTGCGCAGAAGCTTTTTGATCAGTGGGTGGAGCCTCCCATCGGTTTTCTACCAGTTCTATAAAACCAGTGTGAATCTGGGGCAACCCACCACTGCGTGCCATCACTTTTGCTTATCAATTCATTTCTATTATGTTAATTCTACTTCAACAGTTTCAGTCCAAGCATTTCTTTCCTTTCTATATCTTAAAACATTCTTCATCTTTCATTGGCAGGCATTACCTCTATCTTTGTGTAATGATCCTTGTGAGACAGGACACAGCAAGGCCAAGAAAGAAGGGGAGTCATTTTGCTGCTATGATTGCTGGCTGTGCCCAGAAGGAAAAATATCAAAGGAGAAAGGTAGGAAATTTCCAAATATAATGGGACTAAGACATTGGGATACAACACTGTCTAAAACCAACTGTATGAATTCCATTGTCTTCTTTTTTAGATATGGATGACTGCTTCCCATGTCCTGTAGATCAATATCCAAATCCTGAGAAAAATATGTGCATTCTAAAACAGATCACTTTTTTGTCCTATGAAGAACCCTTGGGGATCACTCTGACTGTTCTTTCCCTTTGCTTTTCTCTAATGACAACTTTGATCATCACAATATTCATGAAACACAAAGACACTCCCATCGTCAAAGCCAACAACCAAAATCTCTCTTATACACTCCTAGTTTCCCTTCTCCTCTCTTTCCTTTGTGTCTTTCTATTTGTTGGCAGACCGGATAAGATTTTGTGTCTCCTTCGACAACCAGCTTTTGGCCTCATCTTTTCTGTAGCAATTTCTTGTGTATTGGCCAAAACCTTTGTTGTGGTTCTAGCATTCATGGCCACCAAACCTGGTTCCAGATTGAAGAAATGGGTGGGTGGAAGAATGGTCAACTACATTATTATTTCCTGCTCCTTTGTTCAAATATGTGTTTGTGCTGTGTGGCTGATAACATCCCCACCATATCCAGATTTTGATATGAAGTTAATGTCTGAAGAAGTCATCATGGAGTGCAATGAAGACTCTGTTATGTTCTGCTGTGTTTTGGGCTTTATGGGTTTTCTTGCTCTGGTTAGCTTCTCTGCTGCTTTTCTAGCTAGGAAGTTACCTGACAGCTTCAATGAAGCCAAATTCATCACCTTCAGCATGTTGGTCTTCTGCAGTGTTTGGCTGTGCTTTATCCCAACCTATCTAAGCACTAGGGGAAAATACATGTTGGCTGTGGAGATCTTTTCCATGGTCTCCTCCAGTGCTGGTTTATTGGTGTGCATCTTTCTTCCCAAGTGTTTTATCATTATGATGAGACCTGAACTGAACAATAAACATCAGCTCATGAAAAGAAAATTTTAATATATATATATATATATATATATATATATATATATATGTATGTATGTATGTATGTATGTATGTATGTATGTATGTATGTATGTATTTGTAGGAGAATAATCCAATTTTGAAGTCTGTGACCAGTTTACAATTTTATTTAGCAAAAAATGAACTTGGTTCCATACTTCAAAATGGGAGGCAAAATTGAAAAATCTGAATGATGCAACAATTACTATCACTCTTTTTAAATCTGTGTTTAATTTTATTGATTTTAATAAATCTATGGTTTATTTTATTTAATTGGGGATTCCAAGTTGTCATTTGATACCATTGAATGTGAGGAACCTTACAAAATGAAGGCCTCTATTGCAAGCATTTTTCTGTCTTAAATTATTGAGTAGCCAATTCATATGAGACATGACAGGGTAGGCCTATTTTTTGTTTTAGATGGTTGAGGTCTGATCTGGCATTGGAGGAAGATGCAAAGTGAGTCTGACTAGACATGGTTAAAAACCATATTAAATCAACCTTGTGTTGATATGGGTGGCAACATTTTAATATCTGTTCCCTTTTAATGCCTTCCATCCAGCAGTTCTGGTTAGGACAAAACCAGTGTATTTTGGCTAAGAATTGGCACTACCTACTACCAGTCTGAAACCCTATAATGCAACCACATACTGTATAAATCAAACATTATGTTAAACATCCCCATTTCTGGAAAATTCAGAACTAGCAAACTGAGCAAAACTCGGATTTTAAATATCTTGGTATTTATTTCCAGTTATCATCTTCTCTGAAACTCCATTCTTCAGATCCTTTCTTGTGAGCCAAAACTGCCTCTAATAGAATCATAAGATATTTATTTCATAAGGGGAAGAACTATAGGAAGTCTTCAACTTACAACCACAATTAAGTCCAACATTTTTGTTGCTAAATAAGTCCCAATTCTGTTAAATGAGTTTTGCCCCATTTCATGACTTTTCTTGCCACAGTTATTAAGTGAATCACTGCAGTTGTTACAGTTAGTAACAGGGTTGTTAAATTAATCTCGCTTCCCCATTGACTTTGCTTGTCAAAAAGTCATAAAAGGTGATCACAAGACCACAGGACATTGCAACCGTCATAAATATCCATCAGTTACTAAGTGTCCAAATTTTGATCATGTGACCATGGGGATGCTGCAATGGTCATAAGTGTGAAAAATGGTCATAGGTCACTTTTTTCAATGCCTTTATAAGTTCAAACCTTCATTAAATGAACTGTTGCAAGTTGAAGACCATCTCTACTGTATGTATTTAGATACTTATGTATGTATTTAGATATTTAGGTACTGTATGTATTTAGAATGTTTAAAGTCAAAATGTTAAATGTTTTGTTCTGCACAGTGTTGCAGATACAAAGACAACTGTGCCTTAAAAGGTGTACATTCTAAATTCTGAGATACTAACTCCCAATTCTGTTGCCAATGTGCAAAGTATTTTACTTATTCTTTGACTATGGCCCTGCCTATTGAGACCATGAGTATAAGTCATGACTAAGGTACAATCCGCCTTAGGGAGACCGGTCCAACCGTTCTCTCTCATCTCTAAGAAATAAATAGAGATTTTTCTAGAAGTTTGCCAAGAAAACTGTAGGGACCCATCCAAGTAGGCACCAGAAGTCATCACTGATTCAAATGCAAGAAAATAATTAGAATGGAATAGAATTGAATCTATTGTTGGAAGAAATATCCATCTGGTTCAGTTTCAAGCTGGGAGAAAGACACTGGAAACATGGAGGCTGGTTGAAAAAATGGTTTAATGATGAAGCAGAACCACATGGGTGATTCTGGGCAGCTGATCACATGGAGTTGAGAGTGGGGTTTTTTTATACCTTCTCTTGGGCTTTGCACTTGAGCTTCCTGTTCCTCTGCAAGGACATGTATTCTATTGGGTGTTGTAGGGGTTATATAGGGGTCATAGCTGGCTCTGTAGGTTGTCTGAGCTCCCAGATTTGGTTGAAATTTGCTGGGGGTAATGCAATGAAGGAAATACCCCTTAGGAGATTGTGTAATGTAGAGAGCTCTGTGTCTTTTGCTAAATGGTAGTGGGTTAATCCTATTATATCCTGAAGGATAATTCCATCATCCTGGAGCTGAAGATCTTTTGTTTTGTAGATAGGCTGGCCCAGTCTTCCTTAATGGGGACAAAATAGCTGCTTCAGAGTGGTGATGGTGGGGGTATTAAGTGTGAGTGTGCTTCCTGCCTCTAAAAAAAAACAAAACATTTCTCCATTTTTCATTTAGGGAAATATAATATTCTACCTTTTTAATATCCTTCAAAATATCTCATTCTACTAGGGGGGATTGTGTGTGTACTGACTTTCTACACTATAATATCCAACTATATAAATGACTATACCCATGATGGCGAACCTATGGTATGGGTGCCACAAGTGGCACGCGGAGCCATATTGGTGAGCACGTGAGCTCAGCTCCAGCCAGATGATTTTCGGGCCTTCTGGGCTCACCGGAAGTCAGGAAACACACTGTTTCCGGCCTCCAGAGGGTCTCTGGGGGAGGTGGGGAAGGCTGTTTTCACCCTCCACAGGCTCCTAAAAGGCTCTGGAGCCTGGGGAAAGCAAAAAGCAGGCCTACAGGGCCCACAGTGCCATTATGTGCCAAAAGTGGGGGGAGTGCGGGAGCATCATGAGTGCATGTGCGGGGGAGCATAGAATTATGGGTGCGGGCACGCACGTGCACATGACTCCCCCACACTCCCCCCGCTTTTGGCACGTGATGACAAAAAGGTTAGCCATCATGGACTATACCTATTTATATATTTAAATAAATTTGTATCTTGTTTTCCATTCTTTGTCTTCTGGCTTAGGTCCTCCTCCCTCCAGAGGCCCTTGCATGATCTTTACACAGGTGACTGTCTCACCATCATTATGGAATTAGACAGTCTGTCTCTCCCAAATCTCATGGTACACTCTGGAAAAGTGAGGAACTGACCCTGAAGAATATTATTAATATTCACCATGAAATTCACATTCAAAAGTACTGTGTGAGCTGATTTCACAGTATGTTGCAATTTCTACTTTTCTCTGAAAAACAACTGAAAAAGACAGTCCAGGATGATCTCCTAGGAGGATCTTGTTGCTGCCATTTACACACAGAAAGAGGACATTTATGGAAGCTGTGTGCAGTGATCGAGTTGCTGTTAACAGTATTGCCTCAAGTGGTGTGCAAGCATCGTAGCCTTCAATGTCATCTTGATGAGCCTCTTCCTATTCATCACACCTATCATCAGCTTGGAGATGTTAACATTGCTGGCATTATTTCTGTATGCTTGATATTTTCTGACCCCATTGATTTCAGTCAACATCCTTCTCAAGGACTTCAAGATGGACTTATGTATGTACATTATCAATTTATTTTCAAGTTCTGGTCATTGCTCAAAATATTTTTCAGTAATCTTAAATGGGCTGCCTAGGTGTATTTATATCTAAACTTCAGCTTCCACATAAAGTTGAAAAAAGGCCAAATTTCTTTTTCAACAAATCATATGTAACAAGTATTAAATGTAAATATTTTTCAGAGTTTCCCAAAACAACTCAAGAATCTTGGGAAACTCTGAAAAATATGATTATAAAAGTCCAAACCAGCACAATATCAATGAGAAAGAAAAACAAGAAATCCAAGAAGAAACCGGCATGGCTGCACAAAGATCTCTCTGAGAAATTGGAAGAAAAAAAGGACAAGTTCAAAAAATGGAAAGAGGGGCACACAACTAAGGCAGAATATCAGCAGATAATCAGAATCTGCAAAGATGAAATCAGGAAAGAAAAGGCTCAGAATAAACAAAGACTTGCAACAAAAGTCAAAGATAATAAAAAAAGTTTCTTCCAACATATAAACAACAAGAAAAAAAATCAAGGAAACAGTTGGTCCACTAAAGAGAGAAGACGGCAAGGAAGTAACAGGCAAAAGAGAGAAAGCAGAGCTGCTTAACTCATTCTTTGCATCAGTCTTCACACAAAAAGAAACTATAGCTCAACCTACCAAAAACATAACTGTAAAAGACAGACTAGAAATAAAAATTAAAATAAGCAAAAAAATAGTAAGAGAACACCTGTCTGATCTTGATGAATACAAATCACTGGGACCTGATGGATTATATCCCAGAGTTCTGAAGGAGCTGCCAGATGTCATTTTAGAACCACTGTACCATGTCTTTCAAAAATCCTGGAGCACCGGGGAACTACCGAGGACTAGAAAAGAACTGATATTGTTCCCATCTTCAAAAAAGGAAGGGAAAAAAAAAAAAACAGACCCAGGAAACTACAGACCAATCAGCCTAACATCAATACTCAGGAAGATTCTGGAAAAGATAATAAGAAACAGATCTGCCAACATCTAGAAACAAGTAAAGTAATAACTAGCTGTCAGCAGGGGTTTGTTAAAAACAGATCATGCCAAACCAATCTTATTTCATTCTTCAACATAGTGACTAAATTAGTAGACCAGCCAAATACTGGTAGACAAAATATTATGTGGACAAAATATACTTAGACTTCAGCAAGGCATTTGACAAAGTAGAGCACAACCTACTCCTTGGTAAATTGGAAAAATGGAATAGATAGCATCACCACGAGATGGATTCGTAACTGGCTGACAAGCTGTACTCAACAAGTAGTCCTTAATGGGTCTACATCTACATGGAGGGAAGTAAGTAGTGGGGTACCACAAGGTTTCATCTTAGGCCCAGTACTCTTCAATATCTTCATAAACGACTTAGATGAGGGAATAGAAGGGGAACTCACCAAATTTGCAGATGATACTAAGCTGGCAGGAATAGCTAACACCTAGAAGAGAGGCTCAAGATCCAGATAGATCTTGACAGATTTGAACACTGGGCCCTATCTAACAAAATGAAATTCAGTGTAGAGAAAAATAAAGTCTTACACTTAGGCAAGAAAAATCAGCAGTAGACATACAGACTGGTTGAAACCAGGCTTAATAGCAGTAACTGCGGAAGGGA